GGGAGGCCTGTCCAAAGGGGCGTTGTCCGGATTCCCGCTGGGTTGCCCAAGGGGTTGGCCAGGGCAGGCCGTCTTGTCGCCACTCAGCAGCGCGGGTCGTCAGGTATGTTCGGGGGTTGATCTGGGCATTTTCGTTGATTCCGAGCATTTGGGTAGAGGGCAAAGGGTGAAATCTGAAATGCCGTTTCGATTGATTTTCGAGGTTTGAATCTGCAAAAGGTGAGTCACAAGACGGTTTGAATTTCGAGGTGCAAAAGCCCATATGGATTTCACCCTGAGCCCTCCACCCGGCGGAGGCCTTACGGCCGGTGCCGCCGACCCTGAAAGGCGACGACGACGACGACGAGCGTTCTCGGGGGCCTCTTGGGGGTAGTTTGGGGGCCTCTTGTGAAGCTCTTGGGGGCCGCTTGGAAGCCTCGTGGGTGCCTCTTGGAGCTTTCTGGGGGTCTCTTGGCGGCTTTTAAAGGCTTCTTGGGGGCTTCTTAGGGACCTCTAAGGGCCTCCTGAGAGCTTCTCAGGCCGAGGGCTCGAAATGTCCGTTCGGGTCCCCCCGTCTGGGCTCCTCCTTGGTCATCAGACCCCGTCGGCCACCATCGGGGCCACCAGTGGGGCACCGCGCCCGTCGCCCGCCCGTTGGGCCAGCATCGGGACGCCACCAGGGGGGACGGGCGGGACACCGCGCCCCGCCCGCCCGCGGCAGGAGCAGCAGGAGGGCCTCCCGCCCCGTCCGCCCGCACTGCCTCGGGGACTCGCGCACAACTTCGCACGCGCACACCTTCTTGGCACGCCACGGGCGACGCGAGCACGGGTGAGCGTTTTAGTTTTGTTGCTCCTCCCCAGGGTAACGCTCGTTACCGGGGCCATTCCCCCCCCTCGCTGGGGACCGCAAACGATCGTACTGGCGGGGGGGGTGGCCCAGACCCCCCCCCTGCATGCTGTGGTGCGTACAGGGGATTGATGCGCCGGTGGCGCGGACGCGCCCTGCCGTGTGCACGCCGCGGCCTCCGTTACCGTTACCCTCCCGCCCGACCCCCCCCCGGGGAGCAAGGACCGTCACCCGGGAGAGAAGAACAGTGGATTCCCAGTGTGGGCGGCGTCGAGGGAGCCTCTGCGCCCCCAGCCTCCAGCAGTGGCACCCCTCGAGGCCCCTGAGCTTGTGGCAGGCTTCTGGGGTCTCGAGGTCGTTGCCGTCCTCGTGCCTGCGCCTCGCGGTCCCGATTTGAGGTACGGTAGGTCCGCGTGGTGTCGACCCGCGGCGACCCCGCCGCCAGCGTTCCAAGTGGAACGCCTCCAGCGACCCAGAATCGGTCGTTGTGGAACGATCTGACGCTTCGGAAACGGCCGATCGTTCAAGATTGAACGCTCCCCGCGGTGTCAGAGACCATCGCCAAAGTCGGCACGACACGGACCTGCCGTAGTCCCTTTGGCCCATCGCCGAGCGTCTCGAGGCCCTTCCTCGGTCTCCCGCGGGGCGCGCGCGGTGCCGTTCCACGTCGGGAGCCCGGCCTCCGACGTCGTGGCAAGAGGCACGACGTCGAGAACATTGCGCGGCTGGAGCTCTCGACCCAGTTGCCCACCGGTCGTTGATCGGGGCTGGACAGAACCCCCAACAGTGACACGTCGATTAGTGAATTGTCCGTTTTCGGTTCTCGAGAGGACGCCGTGGCCGTCATTTTCCAGGCTAGCGCCCGCCAGATTTGGGCCTCAGGTCGTTTTCACTAAACCACGTTTTACTAAAGGGGGTTCTGTCCATCCCCGAGTTGAAAGTAGGTATTTTTGGATTCCCAGATTCCAATCTACTTTCAGCGCCTTCCTACTTCAAGAGTCGAGTGGTTTTTTCCCTCGTCCTTCCTCTTCAGGAGGCGAGCGGAAACCCAATCTATTTCCAACGCCTTCCTGCTTTATGTTTCTACCTACTTCTTCCGACCGATGGGTACACCACGCGATGTTTCGAGCAGGACTCCATCAGTGGAGCCCCCACGGCCCGAGTCCAGACCACCAGAGGAGGCCCGCGGTGGTCCTACCCAGTTATGCGCGGGGGCCAGGGAAGGAAGGGAGCGTGTCTGCATCGCCTGCACCGTCGTTGGCGGTTCAATATTTGGTCGGCTCGGGGCCCTCCAGAGCCTGTGTTGGCCAGGGCCCCCAGCACGCAGTTCTTGGCGCGATTTTCCCACGCTGCACCCCTGCGCCCCTTCAGAAGCGTTCATCAGAAGCGTCCATCCGTAGCCATTGTGGCTCAAGCAGCTGCACGAGAGGCCGCTATATTCCGTGGCAGTTTCTTTCTCTCGAGGAGCAACAAACGACATGAACATAAACATTCGGGGGTCCGCGGGGATTTCTTGGATCGACGCTAGAGCTCCCTGGCAGCGCCTCCGTCGCCGCCCCTTGCGCGCTCCGCGCGCCAGGGAGGTGGCTCCAGCGCCGATCCGAGAAACCAGCGCGGACCTCCGAATGTTTATGTTTTTGAATGACTTGATTTTTTGGTTGTCCTCGATCCTCACTCCCCCTTCAGTACCTCGGGCGACGAGATCTACACATGCCTGCGGCCGCTGGCCGGGCCAGTCTTGGGACCAGGAGCGGTGTTTACGGCCTCTGGCTTGGACAGCGAGGCATGTACGTCGCTGGCCAGGGCCCGGCATGGCCCTGGCCGGCGGCGGGGGATTTGTACAGCTCTGGTAGTGGAAGCCCTGAAACCCCAAAAGATTGCTCCCCTTCCCTCCTCCTTCTCCTCCTCTTCCTCCCTCCTTCCTCCTCCCTCCTCCTCGTCCTCCTCCTCTTCATCCCCCTCGACCTCCCCTCCTCCTCCGCCCATCTGCCTCCCCCTCCCTATCCCACCCCCTCCTCCTCCTCCTCCTCCCTCCTCCCTCCTCCCTCCTCCCTCCTCCCCCCTCTCTCCTCCCTCCTCCCTCCTCCCTTCTCCCTCCTCCCTCGTCCTCCGGAGCCATTTTGGCTCCAGATGTTTTTGTCCTCGGGACCAGAAGTGGATACCTCTAGTCCGAGGCTAGCTTACGTTTCAGGCAACCCCAGTCGAGCTGCGCGCTGCTGGGGCCAAGAGTCTGTCTCCCTCCCGCGAAGGTGCTAGCCTTCCAGCTGGGCCTCGCGGCCACGACAACTTTCCATAACACATTCCATTTTCTCTCGCGACGACCAACCCTCGTCAGCGCCTGCACAGTCACAACGGTCTCTGGTGGCTACAGTGCGGAGGCGTCTGGCAGTGGTCGTCCGATCCGATGCCTCATTCTGACAGCAGCAGCTCTGATGAACCCCGAGGCACCGATCGCAGTCGCAGTGACAACGCTGAAGCTCGCCAGCAGCAGCACTATGATCGCCGCTTTGGCCGCCTTCCTCGTGGTGAACGAGATCGTGATCGCGAACGCCCTCGAGGAGATCGCGACCGACGTCGAGAACCAGCTCGGTCCGATCAAGATAGTCTTCGTCACTGGCCGCTCTGGTG